GGAGACTTTCGAAGCTTCCCCTGAGGTCACATGTGCTTGCAGATTTGTACCAGATTCCACTTTCTTCTCACCAAACTAAACAACGCAACCACCACCACAAAACACAGCCAGGAGGCAGCGTGAGCTCCAGGCACCAGCCAACCTCAAATACTTCCTGTTCCAAAACGTAAGAGCAGTGTCTGGAAATACGGCCCCTTTGGCAGTGTGGTGGTCAAACACCCGCTTAGATCTGGGAATCCAATGCTGAAGCCAAATGTGAATTTTGCGTTATTTTGGAGAGTTTCTCTACAGTTTCTAGTTAACCCCCTTTAAGGTTCCAGAGTTTTCTTTTAAAAATGGTGCTTTTGAAATGCAACGTGAAAAAGAGCCTCCCTAACTCTAACAGATACACGTTTCCCAGGACACAGGTACAGAGGGTGATGTAAGCGCCAGCCTATGCCTCGGGAAACTGTGGAAATGCTTCTCTTTAGTCCAGTGTTCCTGTCTTAACATTGGCCTCTACCTCCCCTTTAGGCCGATGGAGGGGCATGGCATTTTCTGAGGATGTCTTTCTCCCCAGTAGCACAGCCCTCAGGGCAGACATGTATCCTGCCCTATAATGTATATGCTGAGCGACCCTGGGACAGTGGCCACGGGATCCGAGGCTCTGGCTTTCCTTCTGTAGGAGCAGGAGAGGGTACAGGAGCCGGGGCACTCGGTCCCAGTGGAGAGCAGCGCCGTGAGGGCCATAAGCCCTCAGCATGCCATCTGGGTAACAGTAAGTTCTTCATCCACACTTCCTGTTGTTAGGACGTTTTTTGTTTGCCTCCAGTTTGCTCCTGGATGCCTGAGGTAGGTATCCTCCCCGAAGCACCCCTCTCCTCCATCGAGGTTGTTGAGCAGCTGCAAGGCCTGGCTGGGAGCCAGCTCAACCTCCAGCCCTGGAACCCAATACCCACCACTTTAGTGCAAGTGACTTTTTTTCTACAATAAACACGCATTGCTTTTATAATCAGGAAGGTGGGGAGGGGGGAGCTTTAATTACAATGATTCTGAAAGGAATGACTGAGTAGTAATAGTTTTCAAGTTACCCATAATTCAGCCCTTGGGCACAGTTGGGTTTGTAATCCTGTATGACATTTTGCTGGTCTCTCCTGGTTGACTAATTCCATACCTTCTCCTCTGTCTTCAAACTGCAACATCTCCCCAGCCTAACTCTGAGTCAATGACTCTGCTTGCTCTCTCCACGGGAAAACACAAAGCTCTGGCAGAGAACCGGGGGTCACGAGCTCCCGCCCCCACCCCACCCTGCCACCATGTCTCCACCTGGAATCTGCCTCTGTGTCAAGTCTCCTCCAAGGGTGGCCCTTCCCCTCACCAAGCGGACAACAACTGTCAGGAAGGGGGAAGAGCAAAGCCACGTCCACAACTGTGACAGTCCACTTACTTAAAACACAAAGAAATAGGAGGCAAAGATGGAATAATACTAACAACATGTCTGTTACATCTTAGAGGCAGGCAAATGGTTCTGTGTTTTCTTTTATGATAGAGCTACTTTACAATTAAAAATTTTAAAACATTTTAAAAAAGAAAGAGCAAAGTCTACAGATAAAAAGTTATGAGGGAAGTTGAAGAAATCAAAGCTGATCTAAGACAAATGGCATTTTGGCTTTTTCCTCCTCCAATACAGGTGACAATATCCCAGACCCAAAAACCAAAATCCAAAATGCCTCCAAATCCAAAACCTTTTCTCAGTGACACGCAAAGGCAATGCTCACTGGAGCATTTCTGATTTTGAATTTTTAGACTTAGGTTGCTTAACCAGTAAGTATAATGCAAATATTCCAAACAAAAAACAAACAAACAAACAAAAAACAAAAAAACCCAAATCCAAAACACTTTTGCTTCCAAGCATTTCAGATAAGAGATACTCAACCGGTATAGACTTTCCCAAAGCACGTGACACGCTCACCTGACGTTTCTGAAATCTCAGGCTGGCACACGAACACATGGTATGAATAATGCTTTTCTGTTGGAAGTGCGGATTTATGAGGACTAAGTGTATTGAAAAAGAACCATAATCAGAAAAAGACTGTGTTGGGCATAACAGCATCCACATGAGGGAATGGTCAGGACATGGGACAGATCAACAGTGGGGAGGGCTGCCCAGGCGCTCTTCCTGCTCCGAGTACATGCTCATCTGTTCAAAGGGAACGAGCACTCACGGTGAATGCTGGAGTCATTCCTGATATGTGTATGTGTGTGTGTGTGTGTGTGTGTGTATCAGTCTGTTTCCACATCGTCAAATGTCAAAATGTCAAAAGAATAGTTAAAATTAAATTCAATCATTAGGAAATGTATAACAGCAATTGGGGATTGATATAAAAATATACCTAAAAGTGTTTACACTCCCATATCATAAAAATGTGGCTTTAAAGACATTTTCCTATCAATTTTCAAGTTCTCACCTAACCTGAGATGAATATTTCTTTGTAGTATTTTTCAGTGGGTTGAAATGACCAAAACGCAGTTTGAAAGAACACGCTTCACATGAGAGGCTTCTAAGGCACAGGCCACTGTGCAGGCTCAGTGACGGAGGTCACACAGGACTGCTGCACACGCATGCATCCTTTCTCTGCCCACTGTTCCTGGGCATCGCTGCAACGTTATTTAAAATTACTCTGCAAACACTCCCACCATGCCCACCAGCCCGTGCACGAATATGCAATAAATGCCAGGAGACATGGCACTCTCTTTGACTCAGACCAATGGGAACCGGGTTGCGAGAGAGGTAAATGGCCAGCGTCAGTTTCACGGGGCAGCCTTCCCAACATGCCACCTCTCAAGTCCAGCGGTTCACCCCAAAGGAAGAGAATGAGGGTGACAGGCTGCAGGAGAGGTCCAGGCCTTGAACAGGGATGTGAAGGCTACATCACACACATTCCTCAGTACTAGTCAACGGGACACTGAGATGACATTTATTGAGGAACTACTAAAAAAGCTGACACATACGTTTCATCTTTATGAGAACTCTGTAGAGAGGCATTATCATCCCCGGCTAAGAAATGAGAAAACAAAACCGAGCTATTCAGCAACTCGCCTAAGCTCCCACGCAAACGGGCCGCGGAGGCGGGCCCAGGTGCCCTCTGTGGGAGGCTGAGGCCCCGGCCTGTCCTCACACCAGGCTGGGATCCCACAGCAGGTCTCAACAGGCAATGCGCGCTTCCCAAGCCAGAAAATTAATTTGAAGTCCACCGTTTTTGGTTCACTTGGAAACTATGCATGTTTACCATCTTTTCCCAGCCCATCAAGCTATCAGAAAATCCTCTTAACCTCATGCCACGCCTGGTTAAACACAAGCAAGTTGTCTCAAAAATGCCCCAGCCACAGGATTGTGTTTACATGAAAACAATCCTGGCAAAGTGAACTTGAGAGAAAGTGAAAGCCAGAACTGTTGACGTAAGCCAAAAGTTTAAAATTGTGCATCTTCATCTGGTATTTAAAACTCCCCACCGCTCCCCCAGGCTCCAGTGTGCGGGGGTAAAAAATAAGCTGCTCGATCAGTAATAATGCAGAGTAAAATCAAGGTGTGAAAAACAGAAAAGAGTGCCCCGAGGACCCCCCAAGAGGCCAGGGCACCGTACCCCACAGACATGGAGAGCCTTCCCGGAGCAGGGCAAAGACACCTCCAGAATGCCGGGTTTGGAAAATGACAGAAAACCTGGCTGACCTGGGAGAACTGCAAGGCAAAGAAAGAAATGTCTTCTTGGAAATGTTCGGCCTGGCTCCAAGCTGGCTTCAACTTCCTTTCAGGGGTGATGAGTGGGTCTAACTGGGGCACCGGAGGGCACAGGTGGCAGCAAAGGCTGACTGTCAAGAAAGGCACAGCTGAGCCAAGACCAGAGACCCAGGCCTTAGGACGCAGTCCCTGCAAGGCGCGGCCACATTGCCCTGCAGGACGCATGTGGAACGGAACGCTGGTTCCCTCAGGTCCACGCCTTCAGGAGGTTCGGGTTTTATTCTCGGAGAGGCCGCATGCCTGGGAAGAATGGTAACCTCACAAGGAGTTTAAACCCTGGAGGATTCTACATGGAAACAGGGGTCTTACAGACAAAGAAAAGCGGGAAAAGTCTGTTTCCATGGCCTACAGACTTGGAGTACTTTAAAATGTTACCTACAAGGCCAGGCGCAGTGGCTCACACCTGTTAACTCCAGCACTTTGGGAGGCCGAGGCAGGCAGATCACTTGAGGTCAGGAGTTCAAGACCAGCCTCACCAACATGGTGAAACCCCATCTTTACTAAAAATACAAAATTAGCCAGGTGTGGTGGCACATGCCTGTAATCCCAGCTAGTTGGGAGACTGAGGCAGGAGAATCGCTTGAACCTGGGAGGTGAAGGCTGCAGTCAGCCGAGATTACGCCACTGCACTCCAGCCTGGGCGACAGAGTGAGACTCCATCTCCAAATAAACAAATCCATAAATAAATAAATATTACCTATGGAATGAAATATTTCTGATCACTACCGATACTTTTTTTGTTAAGGAGCTGAGAGGTGCTTGGAAGACAGAGGATGCCACTGACTCATTTAACCAACAAAAGCTGGTGGCAATGGACAAGGCGTGGTCTGTCCATGGTCGCATGGCCAGTGGGACCCAGCCCCGCCCACTGCAAGCTCAGAGGACTTTCCTACAGGTCCTCATGGGGATCAGGGCCAGGGCTTACACCCAGACCAAGCAGTCGGTGCCTTTGGGAAGAACACATCCTTTAGCACCAGAGAGGAAACAAAAAACAAAAAACACAAAAGATCAGCGTTTCTCTACCATTCACATGTCATGGAGCCATTTCATTTCCAAAAAGGATGGCCTCGTTTACCATCAGGAAGAACACCCAAATTCAGTGAGCCTGATAACCCACACCTCCCCCGTCGCCTTCTCCGCACTCCTCCAGTAAGGCAGAGCCTTTGAACACCTCTGGTTCAGCGCAGGGCCAGCCGGACAGGGCAGGGGTGGGCAGACTTACCCGTGCTGGGCATGTGGTTCACGCGGGCAGGATTCAGCAGCTCCACTGGCTGGTCTCGGCCAGAAAGTCCATCTGGAGAAGAGAGAAGGCATTGGCTTCAGAAACTGCGTGCATTTCAGCCAACATACTTTACGCTGGGAGTCTGCAGGGAGTAACTCCCCAAACAATGAAATGCATGTGTCCTTCCTACTTTTAAAGGGGGATACTTTCAGCGTCGTCATAGATTATTTGTATTTGCCAAAGAAAATCACAGATCCTTTGTAGAATAATCAAAATAGCCTCCTACTGAGATATGGCAAACGCCCGTTTCTGGCCTAAGAGCCCCTGGCTGAGCAATTTGGGTTTACTTCTGCTCAGCAACCACATTATACCCACTCGTGCTGATCAGAAGTCGGCTTTTCTGCAGACCACAAGCATTAAGATAATGAAAAGAGAAGAGCAGCTCTTCTTCCCAGATAGTGACAAATGGTCTGGACACTCACAGAAACACGGCACAGGGAGCACTCCAAACCCACCGGGTGTGCGGACAGGGAAGGAGGCGAGCTGAGGCCACTCCGGCCTCAAACAGGCATGGAGAACGCTTCACCAGGTGTTCTCAAGGTAGAGTCCTTTCTTTTAAATCCACGTTTAAACTGTATTCAGGAGCTGTTTCTATCTATTCAGACTCACTGCAAAGATGAGACTGGAACCCACCCACCACCTAAACCTGGCGCAGGCTGGATTTAGACTGCCTGGTATTTTTCTATATTCTCCCAAGCAGAAAGGAAAGAAAACTCTGGCAAGATTTCCAGGAATCACACTTTTCTTTTAAAATTAGCTTCTGACAAGTGGTGTAAAATGCCCTGCAATCATGTGCATATCATTACAGACATGCACGCAGAGGTCATTTTCCTTACTAAGCGAAGGAGAAGAGCACCAGTTTCGCAGGGCAGCCATGGAACTCTGTAGACACAAGTTTTAAAACAGGACAAAAACGACTAACATCAGGTCAAATGACTGCAAAAAAAAAAAAAAAACCCCACTTTTTATCCAAAATAGATAATTCCTAGCATCACCAACCCCTGCGTGTCCTTGGAGATGATGTTCAGTATCCAAGAACGGAAACAAGGGTGCCAGGAGATTGGAGGGCACACTCTTGAGATCTGAAGCCCATCCTAAGGTGGAGTTGGGAAAGTGTGAGGCCAGCATGGACCTGCAGGAGCTCAGCAGGTGAGGCTGCTCTTGGGTAATGCAGAGATCAAACGTGGGAGCCAGAAATAAAAATTAAACTTAAGACAACAACAAAAAACCACGGGTACCTCTCCAACCAACCAGCAGCTCCTCCCAAGTCTCAGCAACTCTTAAGGTTTCAAAACAGAAGTAAGACACTGGGCATATTTGGGGGCAAAACAGTTCTGCTTCCCTGGGTCAAGAGAAAGACCGGCAGGTCACAGTTACACCTCAGAAGCAGCCACCAGACCTAAGCAATCACCCCAAGCCTTCACACATTCCAGGGCTTTCTCAAAGAACACGGCCGCCTGGGAGATGGCCTGGATGCTGAATTGTAAACATGATGCCATGTCTCACGAGAACCTTCACTGCAACTCAGAAGGAGACCCCAGATAGTGGTGGAAAGTACTTTTCAAGCCTTTTTTTCCTAAAAATAAATAAATGCTCATTGTAGAAAAAAATAAATTCAAAAAGGTGCTTGTACATATGTATGTGTGTATATGTATGTGTGTATGTGTGTGTATTTAACCCAAATCCCGCTATAAATACTTTCAGAAATAGCAGAAGGCCCTTTTGAAGATCTCAATGTAGCTGTAGTTTTCCAGTGGGAAGGGGTCAAGAGGAGGGTGCTTGGGTGGACCACCCTGGTCAGGGCTCTGCACCAGTTCCTAGGAACCAATGCCTGTCCCCAGAACCGCTTCCCCTGTAGTCAGCCCAATGCCCACCCTTAGCTTCCCACTCAGCAAAAGCCCTGGAACCAGAAAGTTTGGAAACCAAGAAGGCCCCCAGTGGTGAGCAGCAGCGGTGGGGCCAGAGTCCCAGCTCACATGAAGCTCCTTCTTGAGTTTAGAAGTGAACCGCTTATCCCTGAGCCCAAAAGGCGAATCCCTCCAGCACCAAGTTCATAAATAAGGCCTAATTACAAGTTACTTTTACTACGCTGAAGCAGGAAGACACATCAGATCTCAGTGCAACCGATTCGACTTGTAAGTCACGACATGTGGCGTTCCTGTATCCACAAGCATCACTCGTGTGTATCAGATCAAGGTGCAGCTTAGTGGGTCTTGGCTCACCTACATTTCTGGGCACTGGGTTGGGCCGGGTCCCACCTATCCTTTAAGAAGACATTGATCGTGCGCTTGCACCAGCTGGCACACCAAGGAGAATGCCGCTCGATAACATCTGCGGAAACCAGACCTTGAACTTCACATGTCCCGTCCTGTACACTGACGGGTGGGGTGGTTTCTGACACCAGCCAACTGGTACCAACTGGGTGTCCAATGATCCAGTTCCACTCTGACAATAACCGCCCAGAGCTAGCACACACGCCACAGCTTAGGGGCTCAGGTCGACAAGGCTGCCCCCATTTCAGACACAAGTCCTGGGCCTCCTGGACTCCTAAAGATCAGCTATAAACCAGGAGTTCCCACAAGCCCCTCTCAGGTTCTGGAATTTGCTAGAAGGGCTCACAAAACTCAGAAAAACACTTCACCATGTTGACGGGTTTATTGTAAAAGATGCAAATAAACAGCAACACGAAGGCAGGGTCTGGAGGGGTGCTGTGTGCAGGAGCCTCTGTCTCAGTACCACTGGGTCGCAGGTGTAGCTGAACGTTCTGCCCCTCTCGTCTCTGGGTCCTGATGACCAGCCCCATTCTGAGGCTACCCAGGGGTCCTGCCCTAAGTCACTTCATTAGCATAAACCCAGAAGCCCATAAGAAGCTCCTCCGAATAACGAAAGGCTCGCCTGACACTCAGGAACCTCCGGGATCCTAAGAGCTCCCTGCCGGGAATGAGGACAAAGACCAGACAGGCTTTTTCTTCCACCACCAGAGATGCCGCTTGTTCTCACTGTGTGCCCCTGGCTGGCCTCATAACAACCTGTAAATTCAAACCCCCAACACTGCCATGTTCACATCCTCGTAGAATGACATGGAAATGCTTCAAGGGAAAGCTGTTCTGATGCGGCACTGGGTTAATAGGAAGCGACTGCCTCTCACGGAAAGAGGCAGCCATGTGGAACTATCAGAAAACAGCAGGAGTGTCTCAAGCACACAGGGGCCTTGGAGGAGGCGGCACAGACATGGCTCTCAGTGCCGGACGCTAACCCCACATGTGGAGGCCCCATGAGCCCCAGCCAGCTGGAAAAACGGCCGCAATCTCTTTAAGACAAGATCCCGGCCTGAGCCGTCCTTGGTCATCCACCTGGACAGCATGACAGATGCTGCGTCCCTCATTATGAAAGGCGGGGGCTCAGGGCAGCAGCCATGATCAAGAAGTCAAACACTAAAGGCAAACGTTTTGCCAGAGGTGGCTGGTGGAACGTGATCCTGGGGGCAGAGCAGTGGCGGTGAGAGTGCACTTTGAAGGCGCAGGGGCCACCATGCCTGGGAAAGACAGCTTTGCAATGGACCTAAACAAAGCGCGGCCAATGAGGCAAAGGACATCCGTCACCAGGGTGAAACAGACAAGCTACGGGACACGGTCAGCTGGAAGGCGGGATGGCATCCGGGACGGCATCCGTGAATGTGCACAGAATAGATTCTTAACGCTGTGTTTTTTCAGATGTCATATTCCAGAGTGAGTTAAAATGAAATTAGTGATGAGAGGTGGAATTTCCATATTTATCTGCCTCTGGGCTGAAATTTCTCAGGCTAAGGAGAAAGTGGTGCTAAGAACCTGACATTGACAAGCTGGAAAATAATTAAGATGGGAATCAAAGTACCACTTCCTCATCACACACCTGCGGCAAGCAGGTTCCCTCTATCTGTCTCCGCTTGAGAATCTATTTTTGGAAACCCTGCTGGATGGGGACGACAGTACTGAGTGTCCTCAAACGGCATTTAATCGGCGCTGGGGCTGCAGACCAGACGCACACTGAGAGGGAGGCTGAGGAGCGTGGGTACCTCCGTGTCCTCACCAGCAGGTGATGTGCCCCAGCGCGCTCCACGCACCCACGGTCGACTGCAGTGATCACATCAGTCTTGCAAGGAGTCCCGTTCGCGCCGACTGGACCCAGCGCGAACTGAGCATTGTTTGAGACTCGGGGTCCGCCCATGGGAGGAGCAGGGCTCAGACAGACAGGGCTTTTGCTTTTCAGAACCCGCCTCGCGTCAGGCAGGTAGGTGTGTCTAACCAGAAACCTGGCCTTCCGGAGCCAAAGGAACCTCACTTTCACCCGGAGGGCCCAGGCCCCCCACTTCACACGTGGGGAAATGGCCTCAAGGGTTGTGCAGTTTCCCAGGATCATGGAGTGGGCACCAGTCGGAACCCAGTTCATCTCAACCAAACCAGCAGCTTGTCTAAAGCTGGACCTCAAGCAAACAGGTGCCCACCAAGACCAGTGCCCTCCTCACAACACTGCCACACAAGAAAGGAGGTGGCTTGAGCCAATAAAGACAGCATGTGAAAGCCCCACGCACAGGCTCCTGAACTGGGAGGGGAAGGGAGTGGGGAGGAGGTGTGGTTTCACCCTTGGGAACCGCCTGGGACCACCTAGTCCTGTCCAGGTTGGGGTGAAAGGGTGTTCCTTGAAGGTTTCACTTGCCTTTTCCAGATGACCAATGGCACTAACCATCTTCTTACATGTTTATTGGCTTTTTCATTGGCTATTTTGGATTCATGTCTTTTTGACTCGTTTTTTCCCCCGGTTGGGTTGTCTTTTTCTTACTGATTCAGAGGAATTCTTTACAAATTCTGAACATTAGTCCTCTGTCAATTAAATGCTACAGATATCTTCTCAAAGGTCCTATTTCTCAATCGTTCAAAGCTTCTGCTTTTATGTCAGGTTCAAGAAACTCTTCTCTTCCTGGAGGCTGCAGAGATATTTTAACATATTTTTACCCTGAAACTTTGCACTGTTCC